CATTTATTAGGAGACATATATCAAAGTTATCCTATATCAGGAATAGAGAACCTTGATTTGACTAAAGAATAAGAAGAATGATATGTATGTCTTTTTATCAGAGAATGTCATCCATGATGTCAAACTAAGTGTACATGTAGCAAAATCGTATATTTGTGTACATGTCTTACTTGTACGATCTGTGGCTTCAGGTTGCTCTTGTTTAACTTTGTCATCTGAAACTTTGGATAATCTAAGCACACCAAATCCGGAAACCTTCAACTGCCCTCCACAATTCATCAAAATATTTTTGGCACCTTACCCGAACTTCAAATATTAAAAATAGTGTATGCGATCATACATTCAAATTCAAGAATTTATATTTTTTTCTATATAAAATAACCAACTTAAGCATGAAGTTTCCTTAGCTTTAACTCACAATGGATAACTAAGTCAGGTTTCCATTCATGATTACTGGCAGAATAAGACATCTATAAAATTCTTGCCCGTTTTCTTTTTGATTAATGGAATTTTGGGTTTACATACTTTTTACTTAATTCAATCGATTTACTAATAGTCTTGTGCCATTTGCAGGATGGAGTATATATATGACATTGGTGATCGATTTGATGCCAAGGTTATAATAAGTTCTAATGTGTCAAATGTGGAGAAAGTATATAATGTGTTAGATGATGTATGTTGACCTCATTTTTTGTACCGTTGATGTGGACAACAGAAATCGGGCCCATTCGTGTACATGCAAGCTAATTCCACCACGTTTGGACATGTTACTAGTCGATGATAATTCGAATTTGAACGTGGGAGAAGCTTTATAACACAAGACAAATATGTTCGGACGCCGATGAGATATATGAGTAGAATTGTATGACAAGGAACGATCAACAAAAATCAAACTAAAAACCAAGATCAAACACCTGACTTTATCAACCAAAGATTTAACTCAAGAGGAGATAATATGTAACTTATAGTAGATATATTTGCATTACTACTAAATGACACAAAGGGAAGGAGTTATAGTGTTAGATATGAAATGGTGTCCATTGAATGAGGGGACATGTGGCCTCATTTCCTTAATCGAAGCATCTTATCCTAGGCATCCATTTTGACCCAACTAGTTTGTGGTGCATTAAATGCTCTCAAAAAGGGAACAGCCACCCTACAACCTATGTTGACAAGACTTAGACATGTTACTCATTATAGGAATTAAATCAATCATTCGAACAAGATTTCATGAATTCAGGATCTTCAAAGGTAGGTCATTACTCGTCATGGTAGAGCTTCGAATTTATCCTCGTGAGCATCACCACTTCTGCAGAAGGGCTTGGGGAAACAGCTTCGATTGCAAGGGGACTTCGGTAGGTCCTATGTACTCAACGTGGGATGACATATGGCTTCGGGAAAGGGTTTTGGTGGGTTAGTTGTAGTCCTCGTAGGATGCCGATAGGCCACGTGGGAGCCTTGGTGGCAAGATGTTCACGAAAATATATTTCAGATTTAAATCACTGCAAGTGCACGGTTCCTTGACAAGTAATAATGTTGAAATCCTAGAATTTCGAATATCGTTCTCACGAGGATTGATTTTTAACTTGATGTTTTATTATGACGACCTTAACCGAATCTATTAAATTTAAGATTAGTTTCTCAGTTCTATATTAAACTAAAACTAGCATACAAATTAAACTACAATTACGACTTCAATGCACAAATAACGTTTCAATGCAAAATATTTGAATGAAACTAATGTATGAAAAAGCGCACTAGGATCCCGAATCACCCAGCAAAGTTCCCTTTTAACTCCTATTTCACAATTTGACAATACGATGAATTGGTTAAAGAATCAATTTTTCTAACTTATCCAACAAACTCTTTCAAGTAGAATTGAACCTATTCTAACATACCAATTGACTATATTTCTATGATAAAT